CTCGTTTGAGTTTTGGACTAAATGCATTCTGGGGTATTTGCCCATTTTTTAACGTGCGCTCAGAATAGTTGCCATACCAACCATCCAACCATCTACTTTTCATTTTCAAAGCTCCAAAAGACTCAAAAACAGCTAAAACAAAAGTATTTTGTCTTTGTTCTTTTTGTGCTGTGACTGTTTCAGTCTGAACTTTAATAACAGAGGAAATGATGAGCGATGGATGGAGGAGGTGGAGCTGCCTGTGGATGAAGTTTGATACCATCTTTCATTAGACTGTCCACGGCTGGTGGACCAGTGATTGTTTCTGATAAGACGTCTGGCGCTGGCACACTGATTATCTTCAAAGAAGCTTCCTGCACATCTCTGGATTTGTCTCGGTTATATGTGACGCACAGACATCGTCTCCCCTCGTGGGACAAAACAAACAGAACTTTTATAAAAATGGTTGGCAGAGACGCAGAGACCCGGTCATGTGATCTTCCTGCTGAGATCGGGTTGGAAAGGAAAATACTAATCCTGCCTCGAGGTTCAGATTCATCTGTGTCCTCCTCATTAACAGAAAAGCTGTCCACAGGCAGCAGGTCCTCTGTGCACGCAGACAAAAAGCTGCTGCCTCGTTAAATTCATCCTGTGATTGCCGCTGCCCTTCACACCCTGTCCTAATGAGCAGGCGGAGGCTGAGAGACGACGTAAGGCTGGAAACTCATGTGCAATCCACTCATGTGCTGATCCACACTTTAAACAAGGAACTGAGAGCCTGAAGCAAGCTGGGGCCAAACACCACTCGCAGGAAATGTTTCCACATTCATGATCCAGATGTGTGAATTTCTGGAAGGACTTTTTCCTCATTCTGAACCAGGACAAACTGGATGTTTGTACTCCTGCTTCAGTAATAATCACCATAATGTGAAAAATAAAGGCCATCCTTACTGCTTCCATTCAGGTTAACATCAGCCAGCTGCTGTTAATGCACCAATGAATGACCAGCAGCCTCTGTTGCAGCAGGACTTCTGTCTGTCTGCAGGTCTGCAGCATTCAGGGATGTTAGCATGATGCTACAATCCTCCCAGGAGTTTACATCCCTGCAGATTCACCATCTCGTCTCCACCTCAGACTCTACAGGCCTCAGTTAGCAGGTTAAAGGTCAAAGTTCAGCACAGACTGAACAAGTATGGCTGTTTGGAAGTGCTCTTCACACGGGAGCTCAGCTCTGCAAAGCTGCAGCTCAAATCAAAATCAAATCAAATCACTTTTATTGTCACATCACATGTGCAGGTACACTGGTACAGTACATGTGAGTGAAATTCTTGTGTGCGAGCTTCACAAGCAGCAGAGTTGTGCAAAAATA